TAATAAAAAGTTAAATTATTCAATTAGATATATGGAAGCCAGCCATGAAACATTGAACCTAAATTATCAACAGACTTTGCATCATTAATAAGTTGTTCAGCTTGAGAACGTTCAGAAACAACCCTTCCTAATTTATCAATACCAGACAAAATACGTTTAAAACGAGGAATTGGTTTTTCAGGGATTTGAGAAGCACTTGATTCATTGTTAGCCCAATCAATAAAAGGATTTTGTAACATACTATCAGTTAAAGAGATAATAACAGATTGATTATGACGTAAAGTTTTTAGTACAACAGTACACATATCAAGAAAGAAACCATTTTCAGCTTGAGGACCAAAACAATCAATCATATTAGTAGTCAATCTAAAAGGAACAGTTTCAGGAACAGGAAGGATTTCACCTTTCCAAAATAACATATCAAAATCAATATGAACAATATTTCCATCTTTTGTGTTTAATAAAATATTTTCCAAGTGACGATCACCAAGACCAATAATTGAACCAACCATTGACATTACAGCCATACTTTTACTATAATTTTCTCTTGCTTTAATTTGATGATGAGGAATAGGAAAAGAATGATTAAAATTTGAATAAAATTGAGGAGGAAGAGTATATGAAGAATTTAAAATATATTTTTTATATAAATCAACTCTTTTTCGTTGATCCGCTTCTTTTGCAATTAATTTATGATAAGTGATAATATCCTTAGTACGAGATTCAACAATTAAAGATTTCATAGGAATAGTATTAGAAGCCCATTCAATTAAACCAGTTTCTTCACTCATAGGTAAAGCAGTATAAGTTTGAATTTTTAAATTATATTGTTGACTATAATGAGAAGTTTCAAAAAGATGATTAAGTGCACCAAATAATTCTTGAACAAAATTGTCTTTTCTAATATCATCTTTTCCTTTACATAAAAAGTAATAAGGTTCAGATTTATCTTTAGATAAAATAGTAATTTTTTTTGGTTTTTGTAAAGAATTTAAAATTCTAAAAGAATTTTCAATACATTTAATTTTAGGTAAAGATATTTCAAAAGGAGAATAATTATTTTGTAAATGAGATTCAGGAATATTAATTGTTAATGCTTTTTGAGTTGGAATAATTAAATGACTCCAATTTTCATTAAGAAGGATAGAATATTTTTGTTGTCTTTTTGAAGTAAATTTATGAATACCAGGTTCTAAATCATTATCTTTTGCCAATAAATTAAAGGCATCACCAAATTGAATTAATTCATTAAAAATAATTTGAACAGTATTATTAAGAGTATTTGCTTTTTCAATAATTTTTTTAATAATAGTAACTCTTTTTTCATTATTACTAAAGATAGAAGAAGCTAAACGCCAAGAAACTTGTTCAGGATATTTTACAAGAACTTTAGTTAGAATAAGAGATAAAAAAGTTTTAGAAAAGTTTGGTTCTTCTAATTTAGAAATAATTAAAGTAAGAAAAGGATACCAAAGATATTCAGGATAATAACGAACAAAATCTTTCATAATTTTTTTTCCATTTGTATCAATAGAATTACTTAATGAGATTATTTTTGGAATGATATAATATAAATATTTAAAACCATATTTTAAAGAAAACATATATTTCATTAATATTTCAAGAATAAGATTTGAATCATTTATATCAATTTGATTTACAGTTTCAAGAAAATGAGCATAAAAATAATATACTTTCATTTTTAATTTATTTTGTTGAAACATTTTATTTTTCATTTCATCTTCATCTTTTTCAGAAAGAGCTTTTTTATACCATCCAAGAATTTCTTCATAATTTCCATTATTTTCTTCACTCATAATAGCAATTTTTAATGCTAATTTTTTAATAACACAATCATATCCAATCATTTTATTTATTTTACTTTTTTTATTCATTTCATCATATAATACTTTTAAATCACTTAATACTTCAATACAATGACTTTGTTGATATTCACTCATACATTTTTCTATTCCAATTTGATAAATAATAGTAGATGTTATTATTTCTTTATTTTCTCTTTGATTAATTTTGATAGCAATATTACAATAATCTTTTGATTTATTAAACATTCTTGCATGTCTACATAAATGACTTAAAATAATAAGAGATTGACTAATATTCTCATTAATTTCATTTGCTAATTTTTGAATTATATTAATAGTTACTTGTGTAGTCATTTCATTTTGAATAGGTTTAATTGCATTTAAAATTCCAATTTGAATAAGAGTTAATGTTTCTGTATCTTCAATATTTTTATTAAGATATTTCATTCTTTGAATAATGTCTTTATATTTTTTTGTTATATTATTTGTTTCATTTCTTCCTTTTGTTAAATATTTAATATCATAAAATATATGAAGTAATTTAATTGTTTCATATGCTCTCATATATGATATTTTAATTTCTTTTCCTAATCGTTTACTAAGAATTTCAATTCCTTCTTTAACATTATTTTTAATTGTATCTTTATTATATTCAAAAATACAATTCCAAATAATTTCCCAAATTTTATCTTTGATATATACTTTTACATTATCTATTTCTTCTCCTTTAATAAATTTTCTTATCATTTTTCTAATAATAAATTCATCTTTAGTAGAAATATTGATTGTATTAATATTATTTTCTTCTAATCGTTCTTCTTCATTTATTTCTTCATCATTTATTATTCCTGAACTTTTTCTTTTCCAAAATGCCATTTCATGTTGTTTACCAAGTTCTTTTGATAAACTAATCATATCTTTAATAAGTGCTTTTCTTTGATTTTCATTTATTCCATTATTATCATGAAGATAATTTTCTATTAATACATATGCTCGTTCTGGTGAATTAACTGCTTGTGCAGTGGATGCAATAAGCATTTGATCAATCCCACTAAGAAATTGAACAATGTTTTCATTGTCTTTAAATCCTGTTAAATAATCTATTGTTTCAAATACTAATTGTGATGCATAAATTGCATTAGAATTTTCATTATTTCTTTTAATTTTTTCAAGAACATCAATAACTTCTTCTGTTATATCTTGAATTGATTTAGGACTACTTTGAATTAAAGAATATTTTAATGCAATAGGAAATAATAAATGAATTACAGGAATTTGACAATCAAATGTAGTATTAATCATAATATTAATCATTAGATTAAATATTTGATATTCAGGTGATACATTATTAATATTAGATATAATAAATGAATAAAATGAAACAACCCAATTAGTGAAAATAGAATATCCTTTTTCTAAAAACATTTTTTTCTCAAATTTAATATTTGGTTCATTAATCATTGTAATAGAATTATATGAATTTATAATATTATTGATAATTGTTTGTTGTTCAATTGGTAAATTATTCATAATTCCATTAATAATTTTACTTCTTGTTTGTTGTAATACTTTTTTTT